AAATCACCTTGGATCCGCCTATGGTATCCCGCTAACAGAGACGATCTTTCGGGGCAAGCACAATTTTGTTATAGTTAGAGCAAATTTACTAGCACAAATCTTTATTTCACTGAATGTGAGAACTGTAGATGAAAATAACTTTAAATACTTTGCAAGGATTTTTTTAAAACGAAATATTCTCTTGATATACACGAATACTTCTCGCCAGGAAACGAATAAAAGCTTGGGGAACGAGCGCTTGGATCACTAGCAAACTGACCATTATGGCTAACCAAATTTCGCTTTCAGCATTTTACAGAATTTGCAGGTTGCACAGATGGCGCGAAGATAAGCGCTACTGACAAAAGCCATAAAATGCATGGGAAAACGCTATTTCATAAAATGCTAATAAAAACTGCCTTAATTCGCGGATATATTACTAGGATTAACATTACCAAGAACATCAAAGACCGCTCGAGAATCAATGTGGGTATTCCATGTACGTGATTTTGACACAATGCACTTTTAAACACTCAGAAATCATGAATATTCTCTTCAAAATTGGCTTTTTTCCACTTTTTTTTCGTTTAAATCTCTTTTTGTAAAATAGCTCGGCAGGAATTTTTGCATCCTTCACGTAAATACCATTATTATGCATTCGAGAGGAAAAAACGCTTTGTCAATTTTTTTTTTCTTTTTTGCAAAATCAGTGTTCCATGAAAACAGAAGTGCAACCCGTGTCAAAAAAAAAAAAAAATCCTCGACTTTTCAACAGCATTTAACTCTCAAACGCAACAGTTGCTTTGGACAAAGGAAAACATTTTTTTCGCAAAAACGAGTTCTATTCCAAAAGTAGCAGAAACCGCAACAACATAATTTTTGTGTTTTTTTCTCGTTGAAAAACAAGAAATTAATTACTTTGAGAAGAGAGGGTAATTATTAAAATTCGAAGTTAAATTCTAAGAAATGCATTTTCAAATTCCTAATTCATTATTCTATCAATGCAAGTCAATTACTTACAAAAAAAGTAAAACAATTCGAATAATCGCTGTGGGTATATTATGTAGTGGTGTTATTTGGATGCTCTGTACGTCCAGTGCAGCTATGCCAGAACCTTTGACCCTGAGCTGCTCATCTTCCGTTGGTATTTTCCCCCCGTCCAACCACCCTCCCCCACTTCCCCAAGGATGTGCAGGTTCCACCTGGGAAGAACAAAAAAAAAAAAAAAACCTAAACTTTTGGGAAAAAAACTTTAAAAGCGACTGGAATGGTGGAAAAACACATGAAACTCTCTTCAGCTGGACTTCTTTCCTCCACATGAGACGACAGAACTGCTCATTACCACCCACAGAGGGATCAATCCCTCACTTCAATTAAGTTCTATTCGCAGGCCAGGGCATAAAAAAAATCCTATCCTTCCTCTATCTGCAGCCGTTTGCCCGTTACCATCGATGCTGTGTGTTGCGTTCAAAAGTTAATGAGTTCGTACTTTTGTGCTTCGAAGACGTCAGAAGGAGACATTTTACCAGACGCATTCCAGATGTATTTTAAATAAAAAGCTCCAATTTTTTTGAGCGCGGAAAAAAGTAACTTCAACTTGAAATTCCATTCCATTTCAATCAGGTTCAGTACAAAAATTTTGCAAAATGATGCGGAAAAAGCACTCCATTACAATCAGACTTCTTCATAGACAACGAATGAGTCACATTCGAGAGAAAATTCCAAGAATTTCACATTTATTTGAGCAGCTGAAGTAAACTGCTACTACTTCACATTGTTTTAGGAAGGATTTGCGAAGAGGCTGTGCAAACTTACTCGATTGCCATCGCCATCGGTGAATGACAAAGCAAAATAATCTTTTTCTGTGAGGCCAAGAAATGCAACCACTTTTTCGAAGAGCTCACCACCTTCCGCTTTTTTCTGCAAAAAAGAGAAAAAATTAAAATTAACTGCCCAGCCATCGTTTTAACTATAAATTTTATAAACTAAAAGAGTGTAAAACGCGAAATATTTCCAATTTCATCGAAAAACTGGCATTAAACACTTTTACAATATATTTAACATACAGCAAACACAACAACATAATTGTTCTTTGTTTCAGCGAAATAGGTCAATACCTTCCAATCCTAAAACTCATCCAAAAAGGCGCCTCCCCGAGAACTCAGCGTAAAACAAACGTCTCAGAACTGTCAACAGGCTGACCATTTGGCCAGCGTAGCATTGGTCAAAACAAAACTGCCGCGCGGTCGCAGAAATAAACCAAGCATTCCAAGTTAATTTAAGTATCCAAAATACCAAAAAAAAATCAAAACAATGAAATTTAACAAATATTATTTGCTGAAGACCAATAATTACAGGCATTTCCGCGATAAATGAGGAATTACGTACTTTGTTTAAGTGAATTAATTTTGGAAGCATAAAAAAACAAGACTAACAGTTGCTTCAGAGAAAAACTGGATCTCAGCAAAAAACAAATTGCAGATGGGGAAAAAAACGACGTAAAAAAGCCAAAAAAAAAATGACCACAGTGAAACTTCTGACTTTAATTTCGGGAAAAAATAACTAATATCTTAGACCGAGTTGAGTAACCACCCAGAGGT